TGCACTGATGCCTTTTCCTTGGTCCTAAAATTAAGAGCCAGACGTGGTTAAGGGATAAATGGTTTTTGCTTTGGTATTGAATAAGGATTTTTATGGTGTGACACTTCTCCAAGGTGGAATACTCAAAAATGCACACACACAGAGTAGATCTCATATACAATTTTAGAGACCTTGTAAATTAGCATGTCTAACAAAGATGCTCTAATGAGAGATTTGAATGAATAGCATGATATCTCCTTATCCTGAAGTATTCCCCCTTAGATGGGCCTAATCTTAGTTTACAGGATGCATTCTAGAGAGGACCTTGGTTTCTCAAGATAGTGTGGGATTTCTGGCCTCCAACTGCGAGGCCTTTGGGATGTTTGGTCTTGTGTCCTAACAGAATACCAGGACGATGCTAAGTTATCAGACTTAAGGAATTAAATGCATGCTAAGGCACTGAGAATACATAAAAGGTGTATAAAAGAAAAGGCAGAAAAATTGTCATGGCATCAGCACTGGTACTCCTCGATCTGATTCACTAAGACTAGAAAAAAAAAGTAGTAAAAATAGGTGTTAATAAATGGGCATGATTAGATAAAATTTTTGAGAACAGTCATAAGAAACTGTGGCGAGAGACTGTGTCTGGGGTCTGTGTATCACAGGAGGCCACCAATATACTCAAAAACTCTTTTAGCAAGGCCTGGATAATGCCAAAGCAGTGGGAGCAGCTACCACTCCTGGTGAGATGACAAAGTCTGAGAGAAAATGAGATCCAGGGATGAACACAGTCTCTTGGGAAGCTGTTGGAGAGCCTCCAGTGAAGTTCAGCATCACTGGTTTCTGAAGGAAGGGTGGTAAGTATGCCAATAAAAGGGCTCGTGTGGGCATAATAATCCTCTTGCACTTTCAAAAAGCCTTTGAGAAGCTTTTTGTAAAGCTTATTAAACTTTGTAAAGAAAATAAGTTGCCACAAGATTGGATGAGAGGCTGGTTTTGAAGTTGAAAGCTGGTGTAAGAAGAGGAAGTGAGGGACAGGGCTCAGTGGTCACTCTCCAGGAAGGAGGAGATTTATGCAGTCAGGGGATAATTCAGGTTGGAAGGGACCACTGAAGGCCATCTAACCTAGCCTGCTCTCCAAGCATGTCTAAAGGGCTAAGGTTATTCAAGGACTTCTTCAGTGAAACTTGAATATGCCCAAGGATAGCCATTCCATAATTTGACACAAAAGCCTTAGAATTTGAGCTGTTTTTTCTTGATGCCTCCATCTAAACCTCTAGAAAGCAGTGGAACCTGTTGGGCTGGAGAGGCACGCACTGGCTGTGGTTGTAGCCACTTGGTGGTCCTTAAGGTCCTTTTCAACTCAAACCATTCTATGGTTTATGGGTGGAAATTTAAACAAATTGCTTCCAAGTTTGAACAACACTACGTGATTTTTCTGGCATGGTTATACTGAGAAATACTGCTGACCCTGAACACTGTCCCTCCATTCATTTCCCACCCACACACACAGATGGCTTTTGTTGGTGGGGATATGGCAGATGGCTACAACAACAGAAAGCCTCCTTTTTGTTTCTGGTGCTTTGTCTGAGCAGGGGGTTTTGGCTGGCAGATCCTGCAGCAGCCATGTCTACTCTGGACAAGCACCAGTAAAACCAAGACTATCACAGGACATTTTTTTTGCAGTATTATCAGGAAACAGGTCTATACAGCAAAGTGTATTAGTGTTATTTGGAATTATATTCTATCTTTGAAAAAAACCCCAAACAAACTGGAAATTTACCTGTCCTAGAGCAACATGTTTTCTCTTGCACCTGAAGCTGACTACACCAGCATCAGCAGCAGCTTTGTGCAGTGTGCAGACTCAGCTAATAAGCAGGTTTGGCAACGACTTTGACTTCAAGTACATTAAATCTCCTCACTGTCCTGAAAATACCAGCTGGATAATTCTGCATGGATCAATGCACATAAGGCTACAGCTTCCACTAGGGAAAAAATCCTTCTCCTTGACTTGCATGCACCTATCTCCTTTCACTAGCAAATATCATTCCCCTTTGTCATTAAGGACTGTGTATTTGTTTTCAGTGCTTTATCTGAGGTACTCACTGGAAAGCTACGACGGAAATGGTTTGAAAAAAAAAATGTTCCAGCGCAAACTACACAAGACCGAATCTGCGATTGTTTCCTGGACCTTGTCAAAGGCTCCCTTCTCTGCAGTTTAGTCCTTGTTTGTCAGCAGCAACGGCAAATGCTTGGTGGATGAAAGGTTTGCTGATCACAGGAGGGTATTCAACATTCCGATTGCCAAACAGAGAACAGTCAGGCAATCCTCTGTAATCCTCTAGGTTAAACAATCCTTTGCAGCTTTCCCTTGCAGTGCCCGTGTAACTTGTAGAATGCTTCTAGGGTAGAGGTGCCAAGCAACTTCCCTGTTCATGGTATTTATTATCCTGCCAAAGTGAACTCGTTTCCTTTCCTGTTTTGTTTGTTTGTTTATTTGAAATGCATTGCACAACCCCTGAGCAATGCAAGCAAAAACAGGGTAATGGACCTACTTTGACAGCAGAACCAACAGCATTCTCCAATTTTAATCCTTGCTTTTTAAACACTGCTTTCAGTCATCTGATTGCTGTAAAGCCATTATTAAGACAGTGTATTTCAGTGTATTTTAGTATGTAAGCTTTAAGTGCTATTCATCAGCTGAGATGAATCTCACGTCTCCCATCTGCACAATTTTCCAAAGCTGATGGGACTTCTGTCAGTCCCAAGTTTACCAGGTGGTTGAAGGAAGAAGTGAGAGGAAAACAAAAATGTTTGCTGTGACCCTCTATCTCAGTTGGTGCTGCTACCCTTGTCACCCCTGGGCAGCACTAGGTTTGCAGAAATGAATAAGCTATGCTAATTGGAGTTTGGGTTAATTGGGTCACCCCTCATTAGTACTGCCTTATTTACCAGTCCGCTTTCTCTTGGTATTACAACTACCTATATGAGTGTCCACATCTGCATGTATGGGTGTGTTGTATTTATAACATCCATGCATGTATTTTAAACATATGCTTATATAAATCTGTGTGTGTGTATTTGTGTCTATATATGCATGTGCGTATTTATTTATGTATATAGCTATTTATGCTTTTAGCTATACCGGGTCAGGCTTGTTAGTGATGTGAAAAACTTTTCTCCCAAAGGTTTCCTCATTTTCAATGGGTAGATTGCTACAAGCGCAAATTTAAGAATTCCAAGGGATCTTCAGTGACCTTTAAAACATACACAAATAGTCATGGTTGCAAAATGTTGGCTGCTCTGTTGACTCACAACATCATGTACCCAGAGTTTGGACACCACTGAGGCTTCGGATGTGGACAGTGATTCATCACAGTCAGAGGATGATCTGGGGAAAAAATAGTGGTTTCCTCTGATACTTTTTAAAAGTTACCTATGAAACAAGCATTCTAACTTTTATTTCCAGGATGAAACAAAACAACAACCTCCACTTTCTTTTGGTTTTCTAGAGCAAAGCTAGATTGAAAAGCAGAAGCTAGGATGGGATAAAATGTGTGAAAACAAACAGGCTGGGGAATTATCTGTTGTTTTGTTCTTTGGGTTTTTTCTTTTCCAGTAGCCCCTGTACAATTTATAATAAAAATAAAAATAATAAATTAGCATTCATTAGCTGATAATAATACTTACATTTTATTAAAATGGTCTTTCTGTTCAGTACTATGTCTGTATAAAACTTTGTTAGTGACATCAAATGGTATCTCCTAAATTTGCAAATAGTGGAATAGTACTTTTCTCAAAGTATGAATTGTGCAAGCAAAGCTCTATTCATTATTCTGTTGATAATCGTATCAAGTCCTGTTTTGAATGAGTTCTTGCCTGTGGGATTAACAGCAGCATGTGTTCACATAACACAGAGTATTGTGTACCATTTAGTATGCCTAAAACATTTTTACTGTCTTCTTTTTATGTACACACTGGTATGTGTACATAAAAAAAAAAAACAGAGTAAAAATGCCTGTACACACATACCAGTGTATGTGTACATAAAAAAAAAAACCAGAGTAAAAATGCCTGTACACACATACTAGTGTGTACAAAAATAAAGAGAGTAAAAATGCTTTAGGCATACTAGATAGTACACAATACTCTGTGTTCTTACTCTGTTTTTTTACTCTGTATTTTTACTCTGTTTTTTTAGTGTACACAGTGCTATGTGACAGCTAATGGTATTTTTATATTGGATCTTATATTTCCTGTGTAACCTCTACAAGTGACCCTGCATTGGGGGCTGGGCTAGGTGATCTTCAGAGGTCCCTTGCAACCTAAACCATTCTGTGATTTGTGTTTGTTTTACTCTAACGCGACAGCATCCTTTTGGAAAATTGTGCTTTAAACATCGCATGAACGCTAAAAAGCCCACGCGGCATTTAAGAAATTGTATTGCTAATCAGCTTACTATTGAAAAGATAGATCTTATTTAAATAGTAATTAAAAAAAAAAGTTTAAATACTTTAAAAGAGGAAGTTTACCCTGCTCTCTCCTTTGGCTGTGACAGCCCCAGGTCCCTCCCCCGGTGCAGACAGGCGGTGCGGGGATGTTGGTCCTGTTGGTGCGGGGCGGGACCCGGCTCTGCCCCAGCGCTTTTCCCTGCCCTGCTCACCTGGCGCACCTGCCCTCGGCGCGTCACCGCGCTCTGCCCATCGCCGCTCGGGGCTGCCTGACGTCAGGATGCGGGGCCCGGGACCGCCCGGCCGGACGCGGCTTCGCCTTCCCCGACAGCGCCGGGGCACCGCGCCCGCCGCAGCCCGGGCTGCTGCTCATCCCCCTGCTGCTCATCCCCCTGCTCATGCTGCTGCTCATCCTGCTGCTCATCCTGCTGCTCATCCCCCTGCTGCGGCTGCAGATCCCGCTGCTGCGGCTGCAGATTCTGCTGCTGCTGCTCATCCCGCTGCTGCTCTTCCTGCTGCTGCGGCTGCAGATCCTGCTGCGCTCATCCGGCTGCTGCGGCCCATCCCGCAGCTGCTGCTGCAGATCCCCATCCTGCTGCAGATCCCCGTCCACATCCTGCTGCAGAACCCGATCCTGCTACGTATCCCAATCCTGCTGCAGATCCCCATCCTGCTGCTGCCGCTGCTGCTGTTGCTGCCGCTGCAGCTCCATCGCCCCGAGTTTCCCAGCCCGGCCGCAGCCGGGGCAATGCGGCAGGAGTCCCCGAGGTCACCGCGGCGAGGCTGAGCCTGGACGCCGAGGAAGGAATAACAAGCCAAACCCGCTGGGGATTTGCAATGCAAGCGGCCTTTCCAAGTTTCTTTTCCGCTTTGCTTTCACCCTGCTGTTGGATTTGAGATCATGTATGTGGTTTTCCTGTTGATTACGGGAGGGTGTTAAAATCTAGGGAGGGAAGAGGATTCAGAGGGATTAATATGTTAGTTTTGATTTAAGGGGATTTTATTTTCTTTCCCCTTATCCCTGCCCTTCATCTTTGTTAACACAACTTCGTCTTTATTATTTTTATTTTAGGTCGGTTAATATTGTAGCTTTTGGGAATGAAAGAGATGGTTTTTCTGAGGACAATCAGCAGCCCAGCCTGATCTGGAGCTATCTCGGGAGAAGTGCTCTCATTTCCCAGATCGACGGCAGCTTGTCTGCCAGTCATGTTGGAAGCCCAGTTTTTACTGAATATCAAGCCTGCGTATTTGGAAATGTCAGACTGGTGGTGCACGACTGTCCCGTCTGGGTAAGAGATCCATCTCAGTCTTTTTAACTACAATTAACAGTTTGAGCTCTTTTAGTAAAATGAAATAATGATCTATTTTTAAATGGTTTTCATTGTTGTGGGATTTTATTTGTAGTTTTATTACTGCATTTAGTAAAAAAAAACCTTTAAAAATGTAACTAGGCAAATGCTGGGAAATCTCAAAGGTGCTATAAAAGGGTTCTTATAAACAAACCTCCGCTTGGCCTTCCCTGTAATAAGGTGTTTTTTTCAACTGTATTGCCCAGTGGAAATTTTGTGAAAGGCAATCCAGAAGTATACAAGAATGCCTTGTAACACTGCACCATAAGTTCTCTCTCCAAATATTTGCCAATAATAAAATGAAATTTTCTGTAAATAAAGGCAGTAAGTTTTCCAGCTGTGAAAAATAAGAGATTAAAAGATCTGATTGTTTTTATATTATAAATTATATGAATTATATATTATTCATATAGTAATAAAGGGAACAATTTTACTCCTCCTACAAAGAATAATCATGTCTTAACATTATTACCTTTATCTGATGGTAAATAACAAAGTTTTTGGCACTGTTGCTAGTTGCCAGCACTTTTGTTAGTAAGTGAGAAAACTTAGTTTGGAGTGTGAGCAGATCAATGATTATGTAAGAAATGATACTGATAATCTAAATTAAAACATATTTAATGACTACTTAGCAGCCTTAAAAAAAACCCCTCAGCTTACCAGCTTTTAGAAATTAAAACAATAATCAGTTTCAGTTCCATAATTCTATCCTTTGGGTGATTTTTGTACTCTTGTAAGGGAAACCTTTTGTAGAATCTGCAGGAGCCATGACAGCTCCATGAAATTATCAGAAGCCAACAATCTTAAAACTAAACAATCCAGTTTAGCTGTCCTTCTGCTCTTTATTTCTTTTTGCCAGCTGCTTACTGACACCAGTTCAGATGGACTGGGGGATCCTGTTTCTAATCTGAAGCTGCATGTGACCTGCACGTGCAGTTTGCTGTAGTCACCGGAGCGCAGCAAAATCTCCTGAATATAAATGAAGTCTGTAGGGCTTCGGAGGCTGTTTCAAAGGGATGGAGGGGGGTGGGTAAGGGAGTTGGGAAGGTGAGTGGGGGCAGCTGGAAAAGGGGAAGCAAGGACATAGATTGGAGACAGAGTTGATGTGTTTTTACATTGCTTTAATTGCATTTGGCCTTCTGCAGATCAAGGTTGTTCAGTTCTGGACACCTTTTAATTTCTGCCTTTCGAAAGTTAGCTTGTTGTTGTCTGAGTCACGGCATTTCTGCGTCCTCACATTTTTTCCCTCTATCAGTTAAAGGAGGCAAGAGATATATTACTGAGAATGTTGAGGACAAATTAGCATGTTTCTCTTCGTGGAAGACGCGTCAGATATCAGGATTGGACTCTGCAGGAGATTATGTGTCGGGCATAAAGCAGTGTCCTTGCTAGGGCAAGGCAGAACAGGACCATTTCCCACAGCCTGGGTGCTTGAGGTTCACTATATCACAGTGGATCCTTCAGAGCTGCTCCTCTGCCAGCCTGGGGAAACAGCACAGAACAATTCAAGATGTTGACAATATTGCCTCAAGCCATATTCTGCATGGAAATGATCCCTGTTTCATCTTACCAAAACACAGAGGTGATGGTGCCGTGGGCCTTGCAGTATTCCAGCCTCTAATATCTGAGGCCAAGAGAGATTTGTATTTACCTGGGATTTGTACCTCATCTAGATTAAACCCAAATGATTAAGGCAAGAGAGTCCTAGACATGAACTTGGCAACTGAGTACACTGATAGCTGTGAGTCTCAAAACTCAAGGGTGCCCAGCTGATCTGTCTTCCACAGCCATGAGTCTGGAAAAGCAGTGTTGATGTGGTTTCACTGAGTAGAGTTCCACAGAGAGTGGGGGGATCCTTTTGCATGGCAGATTGTGGTGCAGTTTAATTTTCTCGAGTTTGAGTCTGCTGCTGCACCTGTCTGTCAGCCCAGGATACTGCTCAGCCTTTTGAGTCTGCAGGAAGGTCAGCAGCTCAGGTGTCTTTGGGAAATCACAAAGGTAAATTCATGTTTGCCAACATGCAAACAAAGATAAATTCATGTTTGCCAACATGGAAACGAGCATGTTGTGAGCACCTCTCCTTCCCCTGGCAGCTGCAGGGTGCAGGAGGGAAATGCTGACTCTGGGGACCTTACAATGTCACAGGGCTGTAGAGGCAGCAGTGGAACACCACACTTTTCAAAATTTGGGGGCAAAATGTCAGGGTTTCCAAGGCCAGGTTGCTCTTTGTGTGCTGCTCTCAGGGTGTCCCACTGTGGCTTGCTCTGGCAGAGCTATGTGCAGGGGACAGGAGCACAGAGCACTGACATCATTGTAAATCATGTGGCCTCAAAATGTTTTCTCAAAAAACGCAAACCTAGGGTAAGAGAAGACATAAAGAACTAAGGAAAACACATGTGCTAACATATCTGCTGAATACTGTGGTTTTAATAGCTGATCAGTTGCTAATGTAGCCTTAAGCTGCTCTATAATAAGGCATATTGAATAAGAATGACCCAGTTTTTCTAATTTTGCAGGGGTGAACCTCTGTATGGAGCTAATAACTCAAAAGGAGAAATTCACAAGATGAGTTTTAAGACTTGCTTTGGAAAACACTGCTTTAATTAACAATCTGTGTTAGATTTGACAGTCTTCAGGACCAAGATGCCATTTTATTGACCTACCTGTATTTTGCAATTCCACTTTACTCTGAATTCATTTAGGCTTCTGCAGAAAAAATGCAGGCAGAATTTTTAATATCTAATTAAGTGAATCTTCCTCAAGTCCAGAATTTAGCATAGTATAAAAGCCGTAATTCATGTTTTGATTCACTTAATTGTAGTGCTGGAAAATAAGTGGCAAAATAGCAAGTCCTTTGTAGTGTCCCCTACTTAAAGTAACTCTTGTCCTCCCCTCTCTTACCTGGAGCAATACCGTAAGGATATGAGTGTTTCTGCCCTGGCCTGGAGGTCCTGCTGCCGTTTTTTAACTTTTTCTACAAAAACCCACCTGGTTTTGTTTGTTTGTTTTGTTTTTGTGGCTTTTGTTTGCTTTGTTTGGGTTTATTTTCCCCATGAGAAACAATACCCCCGCCCCCGAATTTTTTTATCTTTCTCCTATTGTATAAAAACTGCTGAGCTTCTAGAGAATTACTGACATCATCAAGCACAGAAATGTTTACAAAAGGGGAATATGGAGCAGTTGGGTTGTGGAGATTGTCTTGTGGTGGTTTAGATACTTGAAGAGGGGGGCATGCTCTGCTGTGTCTGCTCAATGCCTTGCACAGAGCTGCAGACCTCCATGGGGCTCACTAGTACACAAATATATTAACTGCAACTTAAATATATTAACCACAATTTTGAGAAGGTGCTCTGTGAATTTTTTTTCTAGTTCTCCCTTTCAACAATTTCTTTCCCTGAACCTTTTTATATTTTTTCCTTGTTATTTACTGTACCAACAGGAGTCATCCCTAAAACACTGTGAGTTTTCTTATGTCAGCAATGTCATCCATAGTGTAGTTCTCTGTCTTTTTCCTCTTTATCCTTATCCTTATGCTGGCCAGCCTTTACCATGTCTAAAGGTATAGGAATCTAAGCCATGTTCAGATTTTATTTACTATTTTTGGAAATCTAGACATATTACTGCTTCAGTAAAAAATGTCACCTAGTAAGTAACTTTTCATTTTTCATTATGTCATCCCTTCTCATTTTTAAGTTTGAATGGCTGAAGTGGCAATTTGCAACAAATTATCATATCCTGGTAAAAAATACTATTAAATTCATTTATGAGAGGATGGCAGAGGCCAATATGAGCTTCCTTTGTTTTGTGAGGGGGATGTTTAGGGGGATTTCCGGAGGAGATGCTTCCCTCTGTGCTGCAGATTACTTATCTGAGTAAGTTCAGGGGACGAGTAAGTTATAGAGAGTACACCCATAAAATTTGTCCTGCTGTAGACCTGATAAGAAACTGCAGAGGAATCTTAAAATAAAATCAGAGAAGGCACTGGTATGTTCTGTGGAAGACATCAGTGTGAAGAACGTTTTGGTAGTGGAGACTGGGTCTGTAAATGGATTATAGAGAGGGATAATTCTCCAGTGTTCCCAACGCAGTTCTCTTGGATCCTGGGGAAATCCCAGGGGAACATTCCTACGGGGTGTCCAGGCGCCCTTTTCCCCACAGAGTGGTTGGCATTGCTGCTGCCTCAGACCCAGGGCTGGGGTGGTTTGACATGGGGACACTTATGAGCAGAAAGAGCGTGGGCATTGCAAGGGCGCTTGTGTGAGGAATTTCACTGCCTTTCAGAAAGGCATTCATTAATCATTTTTAACAAAGCAGGTATTGTTGTCTTCTGGGATCATGTGATTTTGTAGGAAAATCATATCTTCAGTGCCTCTGAAAGCTTTATTTTCAACACTGAGTCTTGAGAAGTATAATTTACTAATGGCAAGAATGTGTTATGAGACACTTAGAATGAAGGCATGCAAGGAAAAAAATGAAGATTTTTCCTAGTATGTCATGAGTGGAACAGCAACAGAAGTATAATTAAAATTATAATTATTAAGGTCATAATAAAATGACCTTAGCTGTACAGATACTTCTTCCTTTAGCCAATGCCTGACTTGTGAAATGGAGCAGGAAACATGATGAGGAGTAGCTGTTACAAAAATTTCATACATGGAACCTGAAATTAAGGTTATTCCTGAATCTGAATGGCTGTTCATCATCTGATGACATTCCCCCTGTCATTTTTGCATGAAAGTTTCCCTAAAAGCAATAATGAAGGAGGCTCTAGATGCTCTGTCTTAGGGATGTCTTGTGCAAAAAACCCATTGTCAGAGATATTTCTGGAGGATTTTCATGGCACATGAGATTTACCTCAGTTCTACCCCTGAGTGAGTGGAAAACAATATATCAACATACCACAAAACCAATATACAAACAATATAAAAATACATGTATTAAATTCCATAAGAAGTTTCCATAAGCATTTTTTATTATTCATGCTTAAAGCTGTGCAGTTGCAGTGTATTTGTGCACCTGTGCTCTACTCTTTGCTTATGATACCACCCATTGTCTCCAATCTTGTAGAGATGGGCTGGTGCAAATCTGGGCTGATCTTGAAAATGGTCAGCTGGAAGGAAATTGCAAAGGAACAGATGTGCTTTCTGTCTGCCAACAGAACAGAGCAAATAAATAGCCCATGTTATTTTTGGGGTTGTGTTGTATTTTTCCTTTAAACCTTTGTTGTGTTAAATGCATGCAGCTCTGTTAAAAATTCCCCATTGAGATCTTCATCAATTAAAGTGTACTAAAGCTTTCCCTTGAAAATTCTCAGTTTTTGCCTGCTTGTGTGATCAAGTTCTCCAAATGTCCATCTAGATGGCTGTCTCTAAGCACTGTAGCTGGTAGTCCTACTTCTAGAGGCGCTAAATGTGCATTTATGTGTAAATGTTATATCATTAACTGGGCCTAAATGATTGTATTAAGTGCTAATTGACACTGTCCTTACCCTTGGTTTCTAATAGTCTCTAACTGAGTTGTCTTAAAAAAACAAATATCAAGAGCAGTGCACTTGACCTCCTCTATTGTCAACATGGTTAATCATGTGAGAGCTATTCCTGATAAATTGCTAATTCTGGTTTACTTATTGCAGAACAAAAGCTTCTATTACAGACATCAATGGGAATGTGTACTGTAATTTATTTTCTGACTTATTTCTTTGTAAGGTCAAGACCTGAATTGGGAATGATGTGAACTGACACTTTAGGCAAATACGCGCTGACTTTGACTTCCATCAAGGTCATACTACTTCTTGTAGTTAAGAGCATTGCAGCTACCTCACCAGATTTCAAACAATGACCCTTTTGAAGTGGTCAGAAATAATTATGTTGACAATGCAAGCCATGCCACTTGTTGATATTACTAATCTTTTATGTACTTCACTCCCCTTTGTAATGCTCTTATTTCTGTACTTGCTTTACAAAACTCAAATTGCTCCCCACTACCAAACTTTTGAGTTCTGCTCTTTTGTCACTTTTTCTCTACTCATTTATTCCTATTTTAACACTGTCTTTATTTCACTACTGCTAATTTCCCTTTTTTTCCCCTCAATACCCCAAGTTCTTCTAGTTTTGCCTCACATGCTATGCAGGGCTGCCATAGAATCACAGAATCCCTGAATAATTTGGGTAGGAAGGAACCTTAGAGATCATCTCATTCCAGCCCCCCCCTGCCATGCTGGGGAGAGGCTGCACAAACATGTGCTTGGGAATTGTTAGCTCTTTCCTGCCAGGCACAGGAACACCTTCCTCTAGACCAGATTGCTCAGAGCCTCATCCAGCTGGGCCCTGAGCACTGCCGGGGATGGGGCACCCACAGATTCTCAGGGCAAACTCTGCCAGGGCCTCACCATCTTCTGTATAAAAAAATGTCTGCCTTATATCCAACCTGAATCTACACTTTTTTAGTTTAAAACCATTGTCCCCTGTCCTATCCCAACAGGCCCTGCCAAAAAGTTTGTCCCTATCTTTCTTACAAGCCCCCTTTAAGTACAAAAAGGGCAAAAAAAAGCCTCTCTGTTCTAAGAGGAGATAGTATTTCAGGTCATTGGGGGTTTTCTTCAGTTCTCTGGACCACTTCCAGACTTCTCTCAAGAGTTTTCAATTCAGCATACATTCAAAGCCAAGGGACCCCTGGTATTTATGAGCTACCTCCAGGTGAAGCAGAAATTGTGGAATCACAGTTCCATGACAGATACACAAGTAATAACCGTACATTGCATGTGGATACAGCACAGCTGTAAATGTACAGAATATCAAACAGTTTTAGAGGTTAAGTCCTCAGCACAGAGCAATGAATATTTGAATGTGAAATTGAAAAAGAAAATTTAGGTATGTGATTTAAGTCCTTATCCTGAAAACATTAACACCTGGTGAAGCTATGTAGAAGCCCTAGGGACAAAAGTCACACTGAATTATTAAGTTTGTATTTAAAAGTTCATAGGTACATAGGATAATTCTGTGTAACCTTTCTCTAAAATGGTGTGATTAATAATGTTTTTGTATGTGTTGCTGAAAACATCTACCACTGAAGGTGTTTTTATTTCCTAAAGGAAACAGTTTTAAAGTTAAGTAATAAAAGCAGCAAAGATTCTTCCTGAAAAGAGTATTCCCTGATAAGCCCTATTTTTAATTCTTCTGACAGAATTCCTGAATTAATGGAAAATATTTATGATTTATTATAACAAACAACTTGCTCTCCAAACAAGGAAATTACAAAGCAGGAAGTCTGCTCATTGTTGCATGTCTTCAAATAAGATCTAATCAGACAAAAACAATTATGTAGAGTTTTGCATTAAAAATATAGAATATTTCATCTTTTTCTTTAAGTCAGTCAATTCTTGATTGGTGTTTTTTTTCTTTTTAGGATATATTTGACAGTGACTGGTACACTTCCTGCAGGCTCATTGGAGGAGCTGATATTATTGTGATTAAATACTCTGTCAATGACAAGACTTCATTTCAAGAACTAAAGGACAGCTATGTGCCAATGGTGAAAAAAGCACTAAATCACTGCTCAGTTCCAGTAATAATTTCTGCTATTGGGGCAAGAAAAAACGGTATGTATCCAGCCTCCTGTAACAACAGATAAAATCTCATTTGGAAGTTGGGTATAATGTAATTTCAGTAGAAGCTGGCTGTTTTTCCAAGCTGCTAACAGAAACAATTAGTCTGTCAGGATGACAGTAATATGCACATGCATTTTGGCTCTCTAGACTGATGTGCTGGCAAGAACAATGCACTTAATTAACCTCAGTAATGATAGGCAACCTATCCTTCTTTGACCTCTGCAATGACTCTTCTTGTGGAGCCATCACACATGAGGATTAAATCTAGTAAATTGGATAATGTGACATACATTTGGGTATAAAGTATCTCAAGTCTATGAGATTAAAATTATATCCAGCATTCTGAAAACACTGGAGAGTGGTTGGGAAAAGCCTTGAAATTCTCTGGGATTTTCTTCCTAAAGCAATGAATGAAAACCACAAGCCTGGCTTGTCTTTAACTTTACTAAAACAAGTGGTTCTGAGCGTCCCTCCTTTTAATGAGTAAGAGACATGATGAATGTATATGTAGACATTTGTTTTGTACAGTACAGAGAAATATTAATCCATATGAAGTATATCCTCTGTGGATGCTCAGTGTTGCTAAGGTCTGTTTATAAGCCTTTTAGCTCAGTGACAGATATAGGACAGTTAAAGAGCTGCATAACAATTAAATATTTATTTTCTTCCATTTAGTAATTCAGTGATCATGACCAAGAACTTTCATGCTCTGATATATACAGGAGTAATAAATCTCCCATTCTAAATGCAAGGTTTTGGTAAATTGTTTGTATTCCCCAAGTATTTCCTTACACTTTTTGTTTAAGACCAGGATATCACCAAACTGAGTGACTCCTCTAGTGGTTACTTTTTCTTTTCCACTTAGTTTTTTTTCTCTCTTCCTCCCTAAGTAATGTGGCCATGAGAGACACCAGGCTGGACCTCTGGGTTTACCCGGGGACCTGTCAGAGCAAACTGCTGTGCACACACAGAACCCTTTTGTTTCTAGGAGGTATTTGTGAACACAGCAGTTTGCTCATACAAATTACTAAGATCTTAATCCTCTGTAGTGGTAAATGTTGATGCCAAAACAAATGATTAAAAAAACGAAGAAAAAGCTGTTTTATTATGTTATCCATAGGTCTAGGCAGAGGACATTAGCGGGGAGCGGGCACAGCACATTTGAAAGCACATCCATGGCTGGCACATTCTTACTGTCATTAAGCAAAGCTGACCCAATGTGGCTGGAAGATTTTTAACATTTAAATGGCATAATCTTAAAAGTACCTATTTTGTGTTTTTAAAAAATGTATGTGAAATACATGTAGATGAATCAGATCCTGCAGTACATACAAACCCATTAAAGGTTGGTCTGGAGTGGAAATTTTCTTCTTTCACTGCTGTGTGTGCTTCCTGCATGGACAGGCCGCAAGAATTCAACAGGTTTAAGGGTGATATTCAAGAATGATAACACCTGCAGGCTAGTACAAGACCTGGGCATGCAAAACTATTGAGCCAAAGCCAAATCTGGCATCCATAAGTCTGGCTGAAATCTTCCAACTTAACAAAATCAATAAAGTAATACTAATGTAATGTATACAGAGGTTTGTAGGGTGAGTAGTGTTTTGAATTGATTTATATGAAGTTGGATTTTTTTCTGTCAATACAGATTTCTTACTATAAAATTCCTATGTTTTCATTTCCCTCTTTGTTCTCCTATAAGTAAGATATCATTACAGTTTTTTAGGAATCTAAGAATTCTGCATTATTTGGCCAAAATGGTTATTTTCCATGACTTTTTACCCCAGGAGTGCCTTGCACCTGTCCCCTGTGCACTTCAGACAGGAGGAGCTGTGTCACAACCTCTGAAGGAGTCCAGCTTGCAAAGGAACTCGGAGCCACTTACCTTGAACTGCACACCCTTAATGACTTCTACATCCAGAAATACTTTGGAGGAGTGGTGAGTGAGAATCTGCAGCTTTGGAAGCAGGGTGGAACATGCATGAGGTGCTTGGCAGATGTGAGGGCTTCAGAGAGCCAGGGGAGGCACACCATGGGCCCTTCCACCAAGTGTTGAGTTCCCACCAAGGCAAAATTCAAGTTAAATATTAGAAAGAAATTCCTCCCAGTGAGGGAGGTCAGACAGTGGGACAGAATGGTCCAGGGGGCTGTGAGTGCCCCATCCTTGGCAGTGTTCTTGGCTGGGTTGGAAGGGGCTTGGAGCAGTCTGATCTGTGGAAAGTGTCTCCATTGGAAGAACTCAATGGTCTTCAAGGCACTTTCCAAGCCAAACCACTCTAGGATTCTGTGAGTCTATGGTGCTATCTGAATTAATAGTACCAAGGCTGCTCTGGTTTTAAGTAGGAAGATTTAGGAAAGCTATTTGTCGCATTGCAGTAAGTTTTCCTCTTGTATTCTTGTCCTTTTATCTTGCTGGCTAACATCCAGCCAAATGAGGCCACTCCCCAAGATAGAATTAGCATCTTAAGAGGTCGGTAAATTGAATATCTTTGTGTCTCTCTGTTCTAGGAAGATTAAATACATAAGAATTAACCACAATCATTTGAATAAATAGTCTTGTAAATTGTGCTAGTTCTATCTAAATATGGTAGCTTCTCAGAAATGAGTTTTGGTACTCTCCTGGATGACTGGTAATAGTGTCAGCAGCTTTAGCCCTGCATACAGAGCCTGTTATACCCCTAATTTGATGTATAGGTTGTTATTAAATAACAAGTTTTTTTAAAAAAATATTTCTTGTCTTAGCTTGAATATTTTATGATCCAAAGTTTGAATCAGAAGTCATCTGAAAAAATGAAGAAAAGGAAAAAGACACAGAAGTGCCGTCGAGTCCAACCACCTCAGCTTGAACAGCCAGGTGCTCAATGATATCTGGTCTCTAGTATAATTCCTGATGTGTGTCACTTTCTTTGCACAATCAGTATCTTTTACTTCATTTTTTAGTAACAATTGTTACTATGAGCTGTGTCATCTATTATCAGCTGTTCTGGTTATGTTGCATCACCTCTTAATGATAGTTTAATTTACTTGGGGAGAATTGTATGGCAATATATAACAATGCAATGGATTTCCAGTTTAATTTAGGTATAACTAGTAGGAATGGTTTTCTGGTGGACATACTAAAACATGAATTGATAAAAGCTTTACATAAAGTCTTAGCAGACAGACAAAAAAAGAAAGTTGTTAGAGCATGAATTATTACTCTACAGCGTAATCAGATAGTGTTTTTGTTTGCTGCAGATGAAGCAAGGGAGAGAAGTATGCGCATGTATGAGATTTCTGAGCATCTGATGCATTTGCTCAGTGAAAGAATTACTGACAAGTAGTTACCTATAAACATGTAGTTGTCTCTTCTTCCATGTTCTAAAAATTTGCTCAGACCTCTTAGATTTGGAGTACACAGTCGAAGTTTCTTTATAGTGTAACTTTCTATAGAGGGTTCGTGAAAGGACAGACACTTACTATTAAACTAAGTGTTTCTTAACTTACTTACTGTATTAAGTATTTGAATATCTTGAGTATTTTACTCAAGATATTCAAACAGCATATAAGAAATATTCTTATTGAATATCTCTTTTAGAATTAAACTGACCTGATAAGGTCAGTTGTCCTGTGGTTAGCACTTGCTAAGGTTGTAAACTTAGGTTTTACAGCCTGACTTCTTTTGCAGAAAAGATGCCGATCCTAAAGGGCGAAGCCTCGCACTACAACGCAGACCTGCACAACCTGCTCTGCTGCTGCCAGTGTGCAGATGTGGCCTTCTACCCTGAGGACCTCAGCACGGTGGTGGAGGCTCACAAGATCATCCTGTGCTCTGTGAGCCACCTCTTCATGCTGCTGTTCGGGGTGAAGAGCCCATGCGACGCGCACGACGCCTCCGTGGCGCAGCTGGCTCAGAGCCTCTTCGCGGTGCAGGCCGGGGATCCCTTGCCCTCCTCGCCCCGGGGTGTCCCACCCTGTGTCCCACCAGTCAGGGTGGTGGTGAAGGACTCTGTCTTCTGCTCTTGTCTCCCAGACATCCTCCACTTCATTTATTCAGGTACCTGCTGGGAACAGATCTGGCAACTTGTTTCCTATTGTCTCATGAAGGAATGTGTGCATCGCCCTAAGGAACGCGGCTTTGCTGTTGCTAGATGATATCTCACCTTGTTTCCACATTTTATCCCTTGTGATTACCATGCACAATGAAAACACCACCACCTATAACAAAAATTAAGTTACTTGTCATTCCAGATTTAATGGGCCTAAATTAAATTAGTCCATAGGCTAACATCAATAACATTCAAAATTTTGTCAAAACAAATTTGGAGTTTGAGTCAGTTTCAGATCCTAGGCTTTTAAAATATTGTAAATGGTTGCATGTTCTAAACACAAGGGCAAGAGCGCAGAGTTGCTTAAGGAAGCTCAAGTAATTTTTATTCTGAGTATGGTGCATCTGAAGAGAAAACAGTGAAAAGTGGCTGGACTGTGGAGACCTCTGATGTGTTGCATGAGTTCTGCTTCCAGTTGGTACAGTCTGTGACCTCACCTACCTAATGCCAGCTATCAAAATGGCACAGATATTTTTTTAACTTTTCAGATGTTGCTTAGAATTACTCAGCAGAAAGATTTGGGATTTTTTCTGGAAGTAGCTAATGCCTGTTTGTTCTTTGTAAAATATTTTTCAACCTGTCAGACAATCTTTCAGCTTTCAGTTGGAGTTTTTACATCAAAGACACTTTTTTCCAAAATAGTAACAAACATAAAGAATAGATGAAGCTTTTCACTGAAAAAAAAAATCCATGAGTAGATTATTTTTTTTGTTCTTATTTATTTGAGCCAAGAATAGGGGATAAAAAACAGATTTTCAGCAGGTAATGGATAAATACAGTATTTTTAATTCAAAGAATAATTTAATAATTTGGGTTGGAAAAGACCTTTAAGATTATCAAGTGCAACCACTAATCCATCACTGCCAAGCCCATCACTTAAACCGTGTCCCCAGGTGCCACATCTTTGAAGTGCCTCCAGGGATGGTGACCCTACCACTGCCTTGGTCACCTTGTTCCAGTGCTTGACAACCCCTGAGGTGAAGAAATCTTCCTGATACTGAATCCAAAGCTCCCCTGGTGCAACTGGAGGCTGTTTCCCCTTGTTCTGTCACTTATTACATGGGAAAAGAGGCTGTCCCCAGCCTGGCTACAACCTCCTTCCAGGCAGTTGAAGAGAGCAACAAGTTCACCCCTGAGCCTCCTTTCCTCCAGTCTAAATATCTTTGTAAACATCTTCATCTGTTACCATCTACAGCTTGGGTTTAGTGCCTTGTGTGCACTAATTTTCCTTTTTTACTTTCCTTCATGTCAGCCAAGGAGCTGTGAAACTTTGCAGTTGCAGGCAGAGCTCTGCTTTATGTTTTGGTGCCTCTGAGAGGTGGAGGCGCTTGAGGTAGAGGCTGAGAAGAGAACAAATAATGAGTTTTCAGATTTTCAGGGCTGTGACATGATGCCCATGAGGTTATAAACCCTTAACCAGTGTGGTACAGATGGGAGATAATTGAGCTGAGGATGCTGTGTGCTGTAGATGCTGGTTGAGCCTCTTGATAGCATCAGCTGTGCTGAGTTGGGCTTGTTACTGAGCTCGATCTATTTCTGTCTCATTCTTGTCCTGGGTTAGAACTGAAAGTTAGCACAAAACCCCACTTTGCCTCTGAGACTTACTCCAGCAAAGTGCATGAAGATAAACTATCTTTGTTTTCACTCTCTTCATTTTTCCAAGAAAGCTATTGATACACCTCAGGGAATGTCATGGCTTTGACTGCGAAAACAAGAATAACAGAAATTCTACTGCAAACTTTGTGCTGATTTTAGCTGTGAGGACTAATAATGTAGCTGTGCATTAAATTTTTCTGGTTCCGACCCCTACAGAACAATGCAGCTAGCAGCATGAGCAGAAGCTAAAAAATTTCTACAAATGTTGAAACATGAAGGATTTTTTTTTCTGAATCTCTATTGAACTACCTGCAATTTGTAGTGACTGAACTGGGAGGAATGAATAGATTGAATGTGAAAGCAAGTGAGATGCTCTAGTACTTGGTACTTGGTTACACTATAAAAAGTACCATAGAAATTTAGTGTGCAAAAATTGCATTCTGCCCTTCCTAAAAGCAAAGATCAGGCTGATTTATGTGCAAGCCCCCTACCATTTCTGCAGGATGTGTTTGGCAGTGATGCCATCTTTTCTCCACCTGCTGAGGCCTGTGCCTTGCTGATTAATAATCTGTCTCCCCCTGGTTTTGTGGTAGGTGCTTTCCAGTGGGAACGATTAGAAGAGGACATAAGAAAGAAGCTGAAGGATCCAGATAAAACAGAATATGTGCTTGAGAAAGTTAAATGCATCCTGAAAACTCCAGGAAAGGTACATCTAACTCCTTTGGGTCACTATAAGTTACTTAAATTTTTGAGAAATTGTTTTGTAGACAAGGTTTTCTTGTCAGTCTTTGTTTTAAAGTCACTTTGGATTAAAGAGCCTGTACTTTTTCATGCTTTCAGTGAGTAGTTTGCAGGCACATACACAGAGATCCTGATGTAACATGCAGAATTAATGTAATTCGTAAAAACCAAACAAGCAGGTATTCTAAAGGGATTACTCGTATTCACAGCTTTGAACATTGTCTGCCAATATGATTATGTGTTGCTAATTCCCATGTAATAGAGGCTGCCCAGGAAAGATTTGCTCCTGAACATAAGCCAAAAGTTGGGCTTCTGCAGTAGATCCAGAGAGGGGTGGTTTCTCATATAAATGCTGTGTTGTGGAAAGCTGTCTGTAACTCAATATATTTAAGTCAGTAGAAGACCACACAAAAATTGTAAAATATTATTAAGTTAATAAAAAGTCACCATGCAGGATTAGTTTTAATATAGAATTAGTTTTTACAGACATTTTTTCTTGGAGCATATACGTTCCCTGATAATACAGAACTTGCTCTGATGATTTCTGTTGATTTAGAAAGGAAAACCTCTCAGATTCTCTAGGAATAATACAATATAGACATCAAAAGGTCACTGAACTGTTTTCAGCTTATGACTGCTTTGTTTTAGGCTTAGCAGCCCTTAGTGCCCAGCTAAAACATTTATAGGTTTGGCCTTGGAGAGCCTGAAGACTTTCAAGAAAGCAAGACTGAGCTGTTGTAGTTTCTTTTATTCTTTTTTTATGCTTTCAGGGTACTCTTATTTTTCATTCAAGCATTTTTTTTAAGTCAAAAAGAAGGAATTGTGATTTGTCTTAGTAAAACTAAAAATTTTATAGATTTAACATTTTAACCATAAATTCAACCTCAACTGAATTTCACTTGTCAGAATCTAGCAACACAATTTTAATGCAGTTCCTTTTGTCAGCTTTAGATTACACTTTTAAGGTAAGAAATCCAAAACTGAAAACTAACTGGCAGTACTGGGTTTTGGAGGGCCTTGACACTACCAGGTTATTGTAAGAGGAGTCTGTGCTCCAGGCTGTGAGCTCCCCCTGCCTCTGTGGAGGTGATTCCAGGGCAATATAATCACCAAACTTTCAGCTGCCTTGCCTTTGTACAGAGCATGACGCTGCGGGGTGGATGTGTGTCCCATCCTGGCTCCCCCCAGAGCCCTCAAACCCCGTTCTGCTGCAGCATTGGGTCTGCACAGGCAAAGTCTGCAAAGGTTGGGACTCCAGAAAACCGGTGAAGCCCAACCTGCCTGTAGGGGCTGGATGGAGGAGGTCAAGAATAGCAAAATTTGGTGTGACTGTGAGGGACAAGAGACCCCTCAGGGCTGCTGCACAGCAGGGAATAGGAAATTAGAAAGTAAAAGGTGATTGCAGAGGAATGCACATGCCAGAAGCTCTTGTTTATTTTCCCATAAAAATTACGTCCCATAATATTTAGTTTTGTGGGCAGCCACACATGACAATGTTTAATTACCAATTTATTTTTCAGCTAAACACTGTAAAGGACTGCAAGTCTCACCAGATAAAACGGCTGTATAATACTTCTCTCAGGCTATTCTTTAACACGCCTGTGCTGGCTGATGTAATCTTCAAAATACAAGGTACAGTACCACTTGGCATCCATCCTTTACCCTTTTTCCCCTCTTCAAGAATGCGGGACATGGAGGTGACCGTGGCATCAAAACTAAGGAATTATGAGTGCTTTACTGTCACTGTGGAAAGCAGGGAAATCTTGTCCCTGTGGATGGCGGGCAAGGTTCATCTGGGCTGAGCCTATGAGAATTCCCTCTCCCTGTCACGGCACACTGTGCCTCCCTGATTGACATTATTTTTTTATTCTATTTTGGTTTACTCCAAATGTGCTGCAGTGTCAGGATTCAATGTTTTGTCTGGAAATTAAATATGTTCATTGTTGCAACGAATGATGCAGTGTGAGAAATGTGTTGCATGCTTTTGTAAGAATAAGAATGAGATGGTTTTTAAAAGCTAACACCATTTCTTAGTCTGTCCATACTCACCCTTCATGCAGAAATGGCCTTCTAGAATTAGATAATTATTTTCAGGTGTATATTTCAGGGACAGATATGAAGCATTAGCTCATCAAATATAAGCACAGGTCAAGGAGACTCTTTCTAGATGTTCTGTTTAACACACAGAAAAGATTGCACAAAAATATCGTTGTAAAGGAGAGGAAAATACTGATTTTGACCTCAATGACATGAACAATTCACCTCAGTGTCCCACTCCTGAGAGTCTTTGCGGGAACCTGACTCCTTTTGCAGACTTTTGCAGCTTTCCCAAAACCCTCTAATTTTATAGATTCCCACACAACACTATATATTTTACAGAAATAAACCCCAAATATCTGGGTTGACGAGTATTTTTAAAAAGCATGCTTATCCACTAAAAAATGTTAACAGTTTTTCCTAATAATTGATACATCTTCTAAATTCTTTTCTCAAATTCATCAATCAGAGCAATTGTATCAAAATTATATTACTACTAAGAGAAATTGAAGGCCCTAATCTTAACCAGACAAACAAATTTGTAAGATTTTGAGCAATTTCTTGGATACTTAGCATTGCTTTGAGTTTTCTAGCTTACAGAAGTATGGAAGCCAGGAAAAACTGGAGCCCATTGTGTCTGTGTAGAGAGACAGAATGTGACTGAACATCTTAATTAGTAGATGAGTGTCCATTCACAAGCACATATAGGACATATAGCATGCAGCTTAGACATTTTGAAAGTGGAAGTACAGGAGGTAGAAACAGAACAAAAGACAAAAAATGCCAGAAGGGTTCAAAAAATTACTCAGGTACCAATGTTGTGATTAAAGACATAATTAAAACAATAACTTCTTTGTAAGTATATGCATTATATTGCATGTGAGTTGATCTGTTTATTATAATTTTGATTAAAACATTTACATCCAACTCTAAATGCTCATTTTGGGTTTGGTTGCTGTCCTGACTGGCACTTGCTTGGCACTTGTTGCATACTGAGCTGGACTGCTCAGTCCAGCTGGACTCTGCAGCGCAAAAGGCCTCTGCCATCCTGGGCTTTTGGCCTCTCCACCTCTTTCAAAGACTGTAGGAAAGCAAAGGGTTCACTTGTAAATAATAGAAAATTAATGAATTTATGGGAAGAAATCATCAGTGGTTTTTTCAAAAGACAACCACTCAGGAAATTCACTTAGTCACAGTATTTAATCTAGTTAAATTTATACTTAGTGGAGTTAATGGAATTTCATCTGGAAAAATTTGCGTTTCTCTGCTTTCTTTGGTCATTCTATACAAACATCACTTGCCAGCAGGGTTACTGGTGCACATAAATGACTCTTCATAGAATCATTCAGGTTGGAAAAGACCCCTAAGATCATCAAATCCAACAATTAACCATTTGCATAACACTTCATAATATGGCATATTTATGAAATGGGTTCAGTTTGTGTGAACAGATTTATTCTATTTGGTCTATTCTCAGTTGGTTTAGTCTATTGCATTTTGACTTAAATAATTCTTTGCTGTTGATTTTGTTTTATTTTACTATTCATTATTCATCCTAACTAGTATGCAGTGAGTGTGTTGTTAGTCATTGTCAACTTTCAACACTTTAATCATGTTCAGTGGGGTGAAGACCTCCTAAAAAGACATGAACTTTAAAATGAAGATATTTCTGTGTTGTATAAAATCATTGTATATTGATTTTTGTCTTGCATCCTGCAGGTGCAACTGTTCCAGCCCACAGGGCAGTTCTGGTGGCTCGCTGTGAGGTTATGGCAGCAATGTTTAATGGTAATTATCTAGAAGCAAATAGCATTCAAGTTCCAGTGTATGGCGTTTCCAAAGACACTTTCCTGTCCTTCCTAGAGTACCTTTACACTGACTCCTGCTGTCCAGGTAAGGAAATACTGTAAAATACAGTTCTATATCTGTAATTCATTTTTCCACAGCAGGGCATGGGTAGAGAGTAATGTAGCAGCGCCTACTTGATTGAAAAATGCCAATATTTGAATGTGCAATGTCTCGAGAAAGGTAATGTTTTTGTATTGTGCAATAAAAAAAGAAATCCGTACTATACAAGTAAAATAGAAAAAATATTTCTAATAACATTATTTATTTGCTTTGTGCTCACATAACAAGACTCAAAGAAGTTTCAATTTCATTTCTGATCCATTATAATATTTGTATTTTTTTTTTTTTTACGTTATAGTAATACTGCTTTCTAGTCTGGATTCTGTGTTAAATTTAAAAGTTGTCATTTCTTGAACACACATATAGCTGAGTGTATTGTAAACAAGGCTAAATTGCAGGAATATCTTATTTATACACATGGTTATTTTATGTGTATGTCTACCCAGAAAAATATGCCAACAGGAGTGTTTGGCAAGAAAAATTGAGCTAAAATATTCTTTACATCTCAATTTTTATCTTTCTTATGAGAAGAAAATCTGAATACTAAATCTAAAACATTATTTAAATTTTGCTTATTTTTCCATGGTATAATGAATAAATGATATTGTGATACGTATTTTTGCTTTTGTTTTATTTTGAAATTCTTATTCTACCTTATTCTTAGATATTCCATGTTTCTCTTTTCACTCCACCTAACATTTCCTTGTTTATCAGTTTAAAAATGCAACTACTGTGCTACTGTGCTATATTTAAAAAAAAAAAATTGTTCTTTTTTTTGTCTTTGGACTTCTGGCTATATTTTCTTGTATCATAAAAGTGCTTTTCTGAAAGAGAACTTAGCTAAATCCACTTATTCCTTCTCAGTTACTCTAAATAAATCAGCAGCACTTGACTCATCATTTTCAAGATCCACAATATTGACAGCAATTCTTTACACCTATCTGTCAAAAAGTTGTAAACACATTTTTTCTTCTTAATTGAATAGCTTATCTGGAAAAATAAGGTGATACAGCAAAAAAAAAATTTATAATAATGAAAAAAATAAAACAAGGTGATCACAGGAGTCTGATTTTGTGTTTGTTGTTAGGTATTTAAAATTCAACTTGGCGAAAAGTAGCTTTGATCATATTGTCAGAAAGGTAAAATACATGTAACTTGTGTCTTCTTGTTTTTCAGCCAGTATTCTCCAGGCGATGTCTCTGCTGATCTGTGCAGAGATGTACCAAGTAATGAGACTCCAGCATATTTGTGAACTTTACATCATCACGCAGCTCCAGAGCATGCCTAGCAGGGAACTGGCTTCCACAAGCCTCAGTATTGTTAGCTTGCTCAAGAAAGCTAAGGTACTTACTGTGTATATATCAAATGAGAATATGTATGTTGACTGTTATAAGTTGTTTTAAAATTTTTAAAAATATTAAGAGCAATTTCTGTTCCCAAGGAAACGCGTTGGTATAAAATCTGTTTATTAGGATAACTGGTGACACAAGGGTGGCCAGAAGAAATCCTTCAGCCTTTAATTGCTGATTATGCAGTTACCGAATCACAGAATTGCCTCTACCACTGTACCCAAGCCTGCTCCAGAGCTTGACAACCTTCACCATGAAGAAAGCTTTCCTGCTATTCAACCTAAACCTCCTGGCACAACCTGAGGCTATTTCCTCTTGTCCTGTCACTTTTTATCTGGGAGCAGAGACTGACCCCCCAGCTGTCCACAGCTTCCTTTCAGGGAGTTGTAGAGAGTGATAAGGTCTCCTAGAGCCTCTTTTTGTTCCAGGATAAAAACCCCACCTCCTTCAGCTGCTCCCCTTAAGATTTAGGCTCCAGACCCTCTAGTCACACCCTTATCTGTAGAATTCCTTTTATCATGGACACACTGCAGTAATTCAGTTTAATTACAGCTTCCTCCAGGAAAGATGGGTTTTAGGCAAGTAAAGATGCACTCACTCCTCCTTTAGACAAAAAAGAAAATTATGTGGTATGTAGGTGACAAAGGAGTTCCAACTGCATAGAATATTGAGAGAAATGCATAGAAGAAGGAAAAGAAAATATTAGATGCTTAAAAAAGAGAGACAATAAAGACAGGTTTGGAAAACAGAAGAGGAAAGTAAAAACTAGATTGAAGGATATTGCCTTAATCAAAAGGATTTAGTGCAGGAAGAGGAGACCACAGAACCAACATGACACATTCCTTCCCTCCTTCCTGTGAAGTTCTGTCTCTGTGCAGATGACAAAATTTCCAAGATTCATGATACCTCAGGGTTTTTTTTCTACCCCTGGGAGAGGGACTTTGTTGATTTGTTCTTGGGTGTTCACCTGTTTATGTATTTCCATTAAATTACTTTTCTTTCATTATCTTCTATAGTCAAATCTTTATTTAGTAAATTGCTTCACAATGGAAACCAGAAATATTTTGACATGTGAGATGTGGTTATATTTTAGACATGATAGCATTAAGAGGTTTTTTGTCTTCTTTTTTCCCACAGTTTCACAATTCTGATTGCCTTTCAACTTGGCTTCTTCATTTTATTGCCACTAACTACCTCATCTTCAGTCAAAAGCCTGAATTTGAAGAACTTTCAGGTATTTTTCTGTTCATTTTGAAAATACAAATGTTTTTATGTTTTGCTGAGATAAAAAGTGATGTTCTGGATAATACCAATTTTGCATGAGAAAATAATTAGGGTTTCTTTAGGATATTCCAGCAGGATGTTTCACCACCCTGGCGTGCGATCAGCACACAGCATGACACAGCCAGCATTGCATCACCATTTTTATGGGTCCTGTTGGGATGGCCAGGTTCCTATCCATAACTGAATTTGCTGGACCAGTTTGGTCATTGTATGTCAACCCCTTCATATTATCATGCTAATTTAAATCAAGGTAATGGGTCATTTTTGATACTTCTTCAAGTGCTGGTTTTTAAAGGGTCTTCCTTTAAGAAAGTAGGATTTTTATAGTATGCTCCAGCAGATCTTATAAAATAAAAAAATTATGGCCCATTCAAGTAAATAAATCCACCTTCTTCCAGGGACCTGATATTTATTTTTCCAAGCATTTGTATTTGTTTCTGGTAGTGTAACTAGAATGTTTTGCTCATTGCCTATGTGATTTTCATTCACCCTGATGAGGGGTGCATCTCTTTGACCTGTGGCACCTCATCATCTCGAGGTTCAGGGCAGCAACACAGCAGCAGGCAGCAGCTCTCCCAGGGCTTTCCAAGACCTGAGACCTTCACAGAAATGCAGAGTTAGCTGAGTTGGAATAACACACAAGGTTGACTGAGTGCAACTCCTGGGTCTGCACAACGCCATCCCCAAGAGTCACACCATGGAGCATTGCCCAAAAGCTTCATGAACTCTGTCAGGCTGGTGCTGTGACCACTGCCCTGGGGAGCCTGTGCCAATGCTGAAATACACACTGGAGGAAGAACCTTTACCTAATCCAGCCTAAACCTCCCCAAGGAGGTCTGAACAAAACTTCAGGCCATACCCTTGGAGTGTCTGCCCCTCTTTTTCCCGTCTGCCCCGTCTTCTTCCCCTCACAAGGAAGTAGCAGACCCCACTGAGGTCTCCCCTCAGACACCTCCAGGGTGAACAGACCAAGTGCCCTCAGACGCTCCTCACACAGCTTCCACTCAAGGCCCTTTGCTGCCCTCCTTTGGACACTCTCTAATCGTTTTAATGTCATTCTTACACTGTAGTGCCCCAATCTGCCACAGACTTGAGGCGGTGCCATCCCAGTGGGCAGCAGAACAAGACAATCCCCTCCCTTGCCTGGCTGGCCATGCTGGGCCTGGTGCCCCCCAGGACAGGAATGTCCCTCCTGGCTGCCAGGACACTGCTGACTCGTCATCGACCAGGACCCCCAGATCCCTTTCCAGGGCACTGCTCTCCAACATCTCATTCCTCAGTCTGTCCATACATCCAGGGTTGCCCCATCCCAGGTGCAGAGTCCCGCACTTTCCCTTTTTGAACTTCCTATGGTTGGTGATCACCCAGTCTTCTAACTCACTGAGGCCTCTCCAAAGGGCCTCCCTGCCTTTGAGGAAGTCAGCAGCTCCTCCCAGATTTGTAGCATCTGCAAACATAGTCAGTGTCCTTTCTATAAGTCTTCCATCTGGGGCACTTATGAAGATGTTGGAGAGCACAGGGCCAAGGATGGAGGCCTTTGGAACCCCACTAGTGACAGGTCCCCAGTCTGATGTCCCACCAGTCACTGTAACCCTTTGTGCCTGACCTGTGAGCCAGCTGCTCACCCTTCACATGATGTGTTTATCCAGCTGTGGACTGGACATTTTGTCAAGAAAGATCCAGTTTTCGTGAGAAACAGTACCAAAAGTTTTACTGACCTGCAAAAACCTTACATCAACTGCTTCCCTTGATCGGTTAGGTGGGTTACCTTGCCATAGAGGAAATCAGATTTGATTAGCAGGATACTCCCCTGAGGATTGCAGCCCTGCCTTGTACCCAGGTGAGTGCAGTTTGCCTGCCCTCAGGCTCTCCCAGCTGTAAACTCTCTGTCTTCATCTGAGGCCCTCAAGGATCAATGGATGCAAGCTGACTCTGGAATATCTGGGGTTAGGGGGATGAAAATGCATCTTTCTGCAAATGCAGAGAAGAGTAATCTACATAATAGGGGTAAAAGACTCTTATATGACTATGTCAGTGATTAAAAACTGTATGCAATAAGAGATTAATGTCTTGCTGGATTCTTAGCTGCACTCCTCACCTTGCTTTCTGTGCTGATCTTGAGACAAACTACCTGCACAGGAATTGATATACCCTGCTTTATAGTTCTGCAGTATAAAAAAAAATCCTTGCATACTACATATGACTGTTCTCTAAGAATAAAGTATACTCATCTTTAGGAATATCTCTCTGCTATCCTTAATAAGTATTGTATTCATTTTTTCAAAAAAACTTTTTTATTACTAACTTAAAAATAAGGAAACATTGTGTGATAACTCTTACCTCTGTGCCATAGTAGAGCTCAAAGCAAAACAGGTAGCACTCACCTTTACTTTTGTAGTTGTATTTATATCTTTAATGGTTTTTTTATCTATTTTAAAATACTTTTTATAGCCTGTGCATATGTGCTCTGTGTCTATATATTACATTTAATTCCTTTATTTCTTTTTCTAGTGGAAGAGCGCAATTTTGTAGAGATGCACCGATGGCCTTCAAACTTGTACCTGAAGCAGCTTGCTGATTACAGGAACTATATCCACTCTCAGAAATGCCACTGCACAGTAATGTAAAGAGACTGAGTGCATACAAAGTACATTTCAACTGCAAAATTTCAGATTGGGGATTATACCGAACAAAAAAACCATGTCAAGAGTGAAACCTGATGCTCACCTCCTCTGGAAATTACAGACATTCTTTGTTTTGCTAACAAATCACTCTAATTTTTACCTTGAAGCATTGAGAAATGTATGTTGAAGATTAATTTTAAGCACAATGGCTTCATATTCATGGGGATTAAATGTATTACAGGACAGTGCCGTGACTGGCATCTGCTCCCCTTTCTAATTTCCTTTTTGTTTATTTTATTGTTTTTCATGGTTATTTGTGGCTGCTAAACTGAATCTGACTGGTTTTGTAAATCTGTGTGTCATAGAAGCATAGGAGTACAGTAGCAGTGCAGGGAAGCTGAAAAGCCAGGTCATAAGTTCTTCATATACTTCAGGATGCAAAACTTTTCTGCAGCATTTGTTGGTTCACAATATAATGGGTAGGCTTAAGAAGCATTGTAGTTACTGTTAATTTATTACTCCAGAGAAAGCATGTAGTTCTGTTACAACCCTATGAATACATATTTTAATTCCAGAGGAATGCCTATGCATCACGGTTTTCTCTAGTGCCTCCAAATATCTAAAGAATGACATAATTTTTCCTGCCAGTAGGTAGGAGAAGAAAACCTGCTTTCACAATCTGCAGAACACCTTTGTTAGTGTGTCCATATTGTATTTTTCCCCATGAGGAATAAAGAGAGGGAAAACTATGTATGCTCAGAGCATATCTGTATGGTACTGATGGACAGGGAAGAAAGGCAGAGGGGTCAACAGCCTTTCTTGGGGTTTGAGCAGAAAAACTCACTACTAGAAGTGGCTTTTTTGGGAAAAGTGTGTCTAGTAATCACAGTCACCACAATAAATGTTAGATGTGCTGGCCATGACGGAGGCGACCCTCACAGATTTGGGATGTTGGCTTTTGTGGTGGGACTTGGAGCTCAAACCTCCCCAGTAGGGACTCAGTTCAAGTTTAGTTATCATCATGTCCTCGTAAGCTACACCGTGTGAGACAAACCTAGCTGTGGATCCTTTCTGACACAAGAGAAAAACCCAGAATATTATGACTGGCATGATCCTTGCAGATGCCATTTATCATTTTCTTGACCAAAACAACTTGTCATGATGCTGACTTGTATATACATGTGCTAATGCCAAAATTAACTGAGCCTTTTCCTGAGCACGGGTGTTTTTCTAGAAGCAAAATCTAATCAAGGAACTAAACACCTCATTATCATTCTTGTACTTTCAATTCTGGCTTTTCATCTGCCTTTGTAATGTGGTACGTAGCCTGAGACTGTGGCATTTCTACCACATCAAATGTATCTCGAAACTACATCTATGAGAAGGTGTAAAAACAAATTACTGGAGCTGATTTTTTTTTTTTTTTAAGGTATAAGAATTGCTATATTTTTCAATACCATTCTCTAGATAAGTTGTTCTTTTCAAATTCCATTCTAGAGTCATAGAGATTTTTTTTGGTGATACTTTGCAGAACTTGAGAGGGTGTTTCCTTCCCTATTTTTGTATACACACAAAATAAAAAAGAGTTTATGACTCAGCTAGCTGCTGCAGACTCAAAATTCCAAGGCTCCTTTTAGGCAAGAATGATTTTTTTTTAAAAAAAAACCCCTGCATCTGCACATCCTAAAGTTATTTAAAAGATGAATAAACTTATATACATTTTGCATATAGGGAGCCTAAAATCTAGAAAATGATAATGCTTTTTCAGGATCATGAAAGAAAACTGAAATTATTAACAAAAAATTAGTAGGAAAGTAATATGTATGGAACTTACACCTGAAAAAGTAGTTTTTATAGTTATATAGTTATTACAAATTTAAGCAAAAATAAAATTACTGGATAGATATTAATAAAACTGTAAGTTCTTTGAAGCCTAAAGTAATGAAAAAATTTGTGCATACAGTTAAACTACAGCTTGTCTAGATGTCTGATAGCATCCTTGGGTGCTTCTACCAGAAGTCAGCTCAATTATCCAAAGTAGGGATTAAATGCTGTATACTGACAACCTGTGCAAAAGTGACACAAAAGCTCTGTGAATGTTAATCTAAGCTTCATGTAGTCCTGCATTTTTAATATTTTGAAAGCTTTCCCAGTTTTTTCACTAGGAATTAATCTGTTGCCAATGATTTGTGTGTAGATAACACATAAGAAAGTACTGGGTTTAATATCTGTAAATGTTTTATAGGTATTTAAAAAGAGGCTTAGTGGAAATATAAACACTTTATATCCAAACCAGAGAAATATTTTGCTATTATGCATTTTAGACAAGTGATAGCCACAGGTTTTATACAGACAAGTTAGGCAGTATAAAATATTTAGTATTTATTCAGAGATTCAGAGATTAATGCTTACTACTGTTCAGACAATAAACCAAGTTTCCATTTTACTGTGTATCCCCATAACGCTGCCTGTATCAGGTGCAGATGTGTTGTACTTGCAGACATACACCATCTGATAAATTTTAAGCCTTAGAAGAAATCTTACTAGACATTCTTACTTTCATTCTGAAAGATGATTTTCTGAAGAAAAGTATGTACCTTAGAGCTATTTTTAAACCTTTTTTAGCATTTGGAAACATGACTGAAAGTAGATAATGATGCTTTGTGAGTAGCTATTCTTAGCTGGTTTTAGTGGAGGCTTTAGGACTGTATCCATCACAGATAGTCAGGAATTAGGGAAATACTGAATTTGGTATTTATTTAAAACTGTGTCTGGCATAAAGTAAAAACTCCTTTGATATAACCCCCCACCTTATACTATGGTATAAAGTAAAAAACAGGAACCAATTGGAAAAAAAAGTTATTTAAGGAAGTGGTTTTTGGAAAATAGAATGCTTTGGGAATGCTTTCACTGGTTCCAATGCCTCCCAAACTCCCCTGGCACTGGCAGCATTCAAATGAAAGAAAGAGGTCAGTGGTGAATTTGGATGTCCCTAGGCAGTACCTATAGCATTTAAATTATATATTTAGGCTTAAGTTTTAGACTTAATTTTTGCTATCCTATATATGTGTGTTCTTGTCGCAAACTAGCACTAAGCTTTATAGAGACAAAAAAAATATTTTCTGCACTAGTAAGGTTTTCCACATGATAGTCAGAAAACCTTTGCTGTTGTTCTTAAGCCATGGTGGTGTTGATTTGAAAAAAAAAATACACAAAAACAAAACCAAACCAAAACAAAACAAAAAGAAAAACCCCACCAACCTGTTAGAAAAAATAATAACTATTTTATTAGGCATGTCCTGAAACACTTGTATGTTTTTCTTTTAATGTACCCTGACTAAATTACACATTTTTGGATTGAATGTGTAAAAATTTTGATACAAAATTAAAAAAAAAGTTCTCCTATCAGTCTTATGTGATTACTTATGGATATATATTAACATACTTGGCTGTTACACTGCTGATATTTTTTGTAGCATATTGGAATCATAGAACCATGCTGACTTGGGAAGAGCCATTGGCTTGAGTTGCAAGGGACTTAAAGATCCTCTTGTCCCACCACCCCTGTCATGGGTAGGGACACTTTCCACTAGACCAGGCTGGTTAGAGCCACAGCCTCACCTTGGAAACCCAGATCCTCAAGTGAGCACCCACTGAGCCACAAGAGCAGCACTGAGCATTGATGGAAGCTGCAGGCAGTGTCTCAAAAGCCAGAGTGTGTTCAGGCAGCAGGGGGAGAATTTGGGAGGAAGGGAGGAAGGGTTTGGTTTATGAAGCATTGAAGAAAGAGGGAAGAAAGATAAAAAGGAAGGGGAGATCAAATACGAGAGGATCACTAGTCTTGGGTCCAGCATTGATCCAGCTTGTTCCCCACCCAGGCTCTGTGAGGGTCTCAGGTTGCTGTTGATAATTGCTGCCCCGAGATGCGTAGGATGTCTCTGCTTTCACCCGCGTAACTGAAGAACGAGTCTGGACTCTTCACTTTTCGGTCTTGAGGTTGTTTATTAATTCTTATCTATAAAATTTTCTTTCTGCCCAACTGAGATCTGCTCAGCAAGGCAGCCACAAGCACTCTGACCAGTCCTGAGGCAGTGTTGTCTTTTTATACTACAAACTACATATAACATATTTACACTTAATTCCCAATACCCATCACCTATGTTAGACAGTGCACTTCTACTCTAAACTAATCCCAAAGTGCCAACATCACTGCAGAAAATGGAGAACAAGAGGAAGAAGGAGAAAGGCTGGACACGCCCAAGTTCCTCCATCTTGTCCCCATAACCCCCATACCAAAAATCCTAAAATCTACATTTTCACCTGTGATTATTTTGTTATAACAGTATTCAAACCTCTGTGACTTTCATGTCCTCATACAAAGCTGGCAACTTGCTCCAAGGGTCAAAATCAAATCCCCAGGTGTTCTGGGCATCATGCCAGGGTCTTCGAGCCCCCTGACGGGGTCCTTGGCAACTCTGGACACCCAGAGGGACATACTGAGTCCTGACATGAGAGTACCTTTTTATAGGTAAGTATATGTAGGCTCCCTGCATTATTTGTTACCTGTCAGACTTTTCCAGTGGTTCTGAAAGCAGGAGGCAACAATGACACTATTAAGACTCATCCCATCTTCACTGACACTGCTGTAAATCTGTGGAAACCTGCTCATCTTTTTCCTAAAAGCTTGTCTGGTGAGATTTTTGCTATCTTGTTGCAAGTGTAGAACTGCAAGAAATTTACTGTGGAAACGGATGTATGGGTGGATAATTAGAAATTATGCCGAGGATTGGCACTAACTTTGCTGTAGATGGCTTCTTCTTTCCAGGGTTGTGACATGATATTCAGCCATCATGGGTTACCTGAGGTCGTTTGTGCCCACTTCACTGCGGTGGTATTAGGGGAAGCTCTGCTGGTGGAGAGCAAGTAGCGCAGTATTTGCTGTCATTGTAAGTTCCCAGCGTCTCTTAGAAAATACTACAAAAACTGGTGTCAATACAAAGACAGACGTATCAGCCAGTCCAGGCCTGCTCCAGAAGCCTCAGGTTGAAGATAGAGAAGGCAAACACCTAAGGCAGCAACACTTCACCCAAGTACAGAGGGTAATTTGGGGTGGAAGGCTGAATTCTGGTCAAAGCTTTATTTTTAAAAGGTTTGCAGTTGTTCTTCCTCTCTGGGTCAGTACTTCTGACTTTTCAGTAAAGTGATGTCCTCACAGAATTGTTTTACTACATGTATTTTGCAATCAATGTTATTAATATGAAAATGGCTATTTTGAAAACATGATCTTATTAAGTATCTTGAAGCCATTCTTAGCCTGTATATGCGGCTGTCACATTTGGAAAGGAGGAGGAGGTTCAGGTCAATTGGCGAGGAAAAACACCCAATCTTCCAGTATTGATATCCATCCCTCTTCTCAGTTCTGCTCCACTCTTGTTCAAGGACAGCTGAAGACAATGGCAGAGGCCAACAAGAATACCATTCTATATATCTGCATCGTTTGCAGGTTGCTGGTCAAGTCCTTTGTGTGTCATGGATACAGATGTCATCAGAGGAAAGCTAGCCCTGATTCTGACTTTTGTGGCTGTCAGGGTGAAGACTGCTGTAGGGTTTTTAACCTGAAAGATTTTCTATGTGACCTGGAGATTCACCTGGGAGCTCCAAGCTGAAGACATGAAATTCCCACTATTGAATGCTCAAAAGGATAAAGACTGGGGGGCTGCCTATAGTCTGTAAATGCAAATCAACAACTACCTACATTCCTTTATATGTTCAGCCATGCTCAGTTAACAGGAGAAATCAGCTGGACAAGCCTGGGCCATGACATGCCCATCCTTTTGGAGACCAAAGATACTCCAGTTCATAAACAAAGACTTTCTAAAGACTGGGACATCTTTTTATTCGTTAACCTTATGAGTTCTGCTTTTTCCTAAACCAAAATCTTCTCACCTGCAGCAGCAGGTGAGGACCACCTCAAGAATGGGTGCAGCCTCACAAGCAGCACTGCAATCTGGGATGCTCAGATCTCTTTTGCAGCACAAGTTATCCCAGCTGTGAGCAGGCATGGGACAGAGGAGTGGTGACAGGCTTCTGGTGAAGCCATCAGGTGCCAGTCCCCATCATATTCCTGTGCCAAGGACACTGTGCCCTGCCCCACTCCCAGGGGTCTCAAGCATCCTTGTGGTCCTCAGGCATGCTGCTGCTTTGTTCCCCCTCTGTGAACTTACAGAGTTAGATCCAAACCACACAGACCCTCATGAGTTCATATAATAATTTTGGAGAGGCATAACAAGCAGCTTTCCAGCAACTATAATTTATTGGATTGATGGCTTTTTTATCATAAAATTAAAGTCTTATTACACTTAAAGATGTTGTGTTTTTTGATTCTTTCCTGTTTGGAGTAATGACTTTTTAAATTTTAATATGGTTTTTAAA